CGGAGGTACCGCAAACATTCGTTGGGGCCGGCTGTGCCAGCGTGCATTGGGCAGGAAGGAAAGAAGAGAGAGGACAAATTAGAGGAAGCTGTAACAATAATAAGTAAGAAACAACAGTCCCTCTCCCTCCCCCTGGGGTGTCCATCTTACATTCTCCACAATAAAGCAGGAACACAGACCTGTCGCCTTATTCTGTATCTCTGTCTATTTTGGTTGGAGCCTCTTTAGAGCTAGGAAAAGGAAAACCCTGCGACAGGACTCTCCGAGCTGCCGTGAGCTTCTGTGGGTGTCTCTTGCTGTTAGGGATGTTTTGCTTTCCCTATCGTATTCCCAGCCCATGCTCTGCAACTTGCCACATTCCCGTGATGGTAAAAGAGACACAAAACTGGCAGCAACTCCTATCCCCTTTTCCTTTCAACCCAGTGGAGATAAACTTTAGGCGGTGGATGGATGGATGCTTTCTTCTCTTCCCCCCTGGGATATTCGGTTTCGTTCTTGGTAGCCTAGTCATTCAGGTACAAGGGAGATTACCTGCTTTTCATTGCCCAGCCCTGGATGCCAAACAGGCATTTATGTACCTTTCTCGTTATATTTAGCTAGTATATCTACTGTTACATCATTACTGTCAAACAACTTTGCAACCTCATCAGAAACCTTGAAAAATCTGGATTCGGGAATTACTTTGTCTCTGCAGTTGTGTCCACAACGTTGCAAATCAGGGTTGTAAATTGAAACTCATAACATGAAGTCTCCTCCCTCGCTTCTCCCAGGGAAAAGCTAGAATTCATCATCATGGTACTATCGTTTAGATCACTTGGCATGTAAAAGCCAGGCCATGCTTACCGCAAGAGCTGGATTTTATTGCAGTTTGTACACTTACATATTGCAGCCTAACACCTCATCAGTAGAGATTCCTCATCCTGGTAATAGAAAAGAATGGAATCAGTTCCCATCTGAAAGCCAAGCTGAGTATGTAGGGGTTTAGTCATTTAAAAAAACCCTGTTTTGTCGTTTGGGTTTTTTTAAACTT